CCTGCCGTTCTTCTACTTTGGGCCCATCATGACCTTTGACAAGTTCTACGCGCAGGTCTGTTTCTCAAGCGTCGACGGGCGCGAGGAACCCGAGCCGCCGCGTCGCTTGCTCGCGGGGCTATTTACGACTCTGCGGGGCTCGACGGCTGAGCGCGCCGCGCACGACGATGGCCGCAGACAACATTAGATAGGACCTGGTTCCATTCGGACAAGAATGGAGGGGTTCAATTTTGAAAGCTCCTAATCTCACCGCAGGCCTTTTTCCTTTCCGTTTTTTGTTTTTTTAACCCCAAAAAGGAATTGATCCACAATATTTCTTTTCAAGGATAAAAAAAACAACAAAAAGCCCCCGAATCATCTTAAAAAGATATTTCTAAAAGAAAAAAAAAATTAAATCGCTTAACTCCGACTTCTTAAAAAAGGGAAAAATTTTGTTGAAGCTAAATGTCATTAAGTCCGTTTTAAATGGAAATCTGACAACATTTTTATCTTTTCAAAAGTTTTTTCATTTTATGTATGAGCGATCGCATTCCTGCTCAAGCGCGCCAAAACGAAGGCCGCACACGCGATCGTGCGTGGCCAACAAAATCAGACGGGGCCTCGCATTTCGTGCGTGGCCAACGAAACCAGACGGGGCCTCGCGTCGCCCCGAGAGTCACGTAAGCAAAACAAGACGCTCGTGGAAAGAGCCAAAGACGGAAAGAGAGAGAGAAGGAGAGACCTGCAAACGCCCGAACTGCCCGTAAGAGGCTGGCACAGGAGCTTTGCGTGCGCTGCCCCCTGCAGGCCAATAAGTCGGACCTGAGCAGGAAGGCGCGGGAGATGTGGGACATCAACGTGCAGGCCGTGACCCACCTGGCTCTCATCCTGGCCGTGGACATCCTCTTCCACTTCCTCTACGTCCTCACCATTCCTGGCGACTTGAAGCTTCTCAGGCACCTCTCCGACTGGGCCTTGGGTCCGTCTATCCGGAAAAAAATATATATCAATCAATCAAATAATTAATCAATGAATCAACCCCCCACCCCCCCAAAAAATCCCATCGAGAATGAGAATCCAAGGCGTTTCTTTGCAGTCGGCGTGGCCTATTTCAACCTGGTGTACGACTGGGCCAAAGCCGCCGTCATGTTCGGCGTGATCAACACCGTGTCCAGGCTCGACCACTTGGACCCGCCCAAGCCGCCCAAATGCATCACGGCGCTCTACGTCTTTGCCGAAACGTGAGCGAGCGCATTTCCATCGGCGCCGGGTGCTCTCTGCCGATCACTCACTACCCGCCCGTTTGCTCTGCCCAGACACTTTGACCGAGGCATCAACGACTGGTTGTGCAAGTGAGCGGCCCCGCCGGAATCCGAGCGCGGCGCGAAGCGGCGCTCCAATCCCGTTGTGCTTTTCCCGCCAAAAAGGTACGTGTACGATCGGCTGGGCGGCAAGCACGACGACGTGCTGGCGGAGCTGCTGGCCACGCTGTGCACCTACGCCGTCACCGTCCTGTGGCTGGGACCGAGCAAGCCGGTCCTGGTCTGGGCCTTCTTCAACTGCTTCGGCCTCAACTGCGAGCTGTGGGCCGCCAAGTTCTTCTCCATGGAGCCCTTCGCGTCTTTCGAGGTTCGTGTGTCCGTTCGGCGCCGGGGGGATCCTGGCCTCCTCGGTCAGGTGTTCTGGGCACGTCCCACCGGCAGGAGCCGACGATGTCTCCCGCCTGGCCTGGGAACGCCTTCCCGGGAAGCGGCTGGGGGGAGGGAAGAAGCGGCTGGGGGGAGGGAAGAAGCGGCTGGGGGGGAGGGAAGTCCGGGCTTCCCCGCTGTAGCCCCCCCGCGACCTCGGACAAGTGCTAAAAAACGGATGCGCTTTTTGACTTTTGAGATCAGCAAAGACTTGGTCCGGACTTGCCAGTGACGTTTTCCCATCGCTGGCTCGATGGGAAGTGTGATGTTTCTTTTCCTTCTTTGTGTCTTTCAAGCACGCAATGTCCGAGGCAATGTCGCGCCGGATTCGAGCCGTCGTCTGCATCTTCAACTTCTGGAGTATCGTGTTGTACAACACCCTGCTTCTCAACAGTTTGGACTTTGCCAAGTTGCTGGCCAAGCGTCTGCTGCTCAAAGGTGAGCTGTTCGGCTGGATTCCGAGTCGGCGGTTCGAGTGACGCAGCGGAGGTATTTTCATATGCGTCGACGACTCGCAAAGGCGTGTGGACTCAGGCCGTCTTCCGTCCGGCCAGGTTTCCCGATAACCACGGCGGTCGTCATGTTTGTGACCTACTGCCTGATTCAAGTGATTAAGGAGAGGGAAAGGAGACGGGCCCTCACCGACGACCCCGATCTGCTTCCTCCCGCCACGTCGGACGGAGCGCCGGCGGGAGCCTCGACCGCCCCTCCGTCAGACTCGGGGACCGCCGCGCCGGCCGTCGCTCAGCCCGTCGCCGATCCCGGCAAGCAAAAAGCGGAGTAGAGGATTCACGCTTGCGGTCTTGGTTTTCGTCATATCTTGAATGACATTTTCTGAAACGTCGGTCATGTAAAAGAAATCAAGTACAAGAAGATGAAAGTTTGTTTTCAAGATCAAAAAGTCAGACCACCACCAAATGAATGTTGTAGACAGATTACAACATGAAAGATGGAGCGATAACAAGGTTAAAGAAAAAAAATGTCATACTTACCAGAGGGGGGAAAAAAAAGGAAATGAACTCTTTCTGTCAAAAAAAAAAAAAAAAAAAAAGGATGATTTGTTTCAGAAACAAATTGTGATTAAAATCAAACATAAAAAGAATGTGTTTTCTTTCATTGGAGTCCAGGATGACTTTTTGGACAAAATCATACCCCGATCTTGGCCTACTTTTTAAGATGTCCTGATCTTAATAGCAATCATCCAAAAAGGATATACATGTCCAGTTGGATTGAGTTTTTTTCCTCGATGAAAACAAACAAAGAAAGGGTCATAATACTCAGAGAATGAAGTCACGTCATGTTTGGGATGACTAAGGGGTGGGGGGGCTATTTCAGGGCAATGAAGCCATACAGTATGTCAGCTGGCTAAGAGCGGTGAGTGCGAGGCAAGGGGGGGAGGGAGGGGGCTGGCATGTCATGTTCCATCGCCGGCTATAAATGGCCCGCCAGTCGGAGCGCGCTTGAAAGGCGGGAACAGCTGAGGGAGCGGACGGCTTTCAGTTGGCGCCGGCGAGGAAGGAGCCATTGGACCGCAAGACCCCCGAAAGGATCTTCCCAGACTCCCCGCCGCCGGCCAGCAAGAATGGCTCTGGCGGTGAACCCCGCGGACGAGCCCCGGGTGTACCAGCAGACGCTTCTTCAGGACGGCCTGCGCGACCTCCTGGAGAACGACAAGCTGGTGGATTGCGTTCTGAAAATCAAGGACAAGGAGTTCCCGTGCCACCGCTTGGTCCTGTGCGCCTGCAGTTCCTACTTCCGCACTCTCTTTCTGTCTGACCTGGACGAAAGCAAAAAACGCGAGGTGGTCGTGGAGGACGTGGAGCCGGGGGTGATGGGGCTGATCCTCGAGTACCTGTACACCTCCAGGATCGACGTGACCGAGCACAACGTCCAGGACATCTTTGCCGTGGCCAACATTTACCAGATCCCGTCCGTTTTCACGGTCTGCGTGTCCTTCCTCCAAAAGCGTCTGAGCCTCAGCAACTGCCTGGCGGTCTTCAGACTCGGCCTGATGCTGGACTGCCCCAGGTTGGCCGTCTCGGCCCGCAACTTTGCCTGCGAGCGCTTCCGGCTCGTCTCCCGGGACCAGGAGTTCCTCGGGCTGCGGCCCGGCGAGCTGGCCGCCATCCTGGCCGACGACGCCCTGGACGTGGAGTCCGAGGAAGTCGTGTTCGAGGCCTTGATGACGTGGGTGGCGCGGGACCCGGGCCAACGGCAGAAGGACCTGCCCGGCTTGCTGGACTGCGTTCGCTTGCGTCTGCTGAGCGAGGACTACTGGAGGGACAAGGTGGAGAAGAACAAACTCCTCTGCGACAGCCCCGAGCTGCGAGAGAAGCTCCGGCTGGTCGGGGACGCTCGGGCGGGGAAAATGCCTCAACTCCACGCCGAGGGGCGCAAGGAAGACGGCGAGGGGGAGCGGCAAAATCTCCTGCCCGGGATCCTCAACGACAACTTGCGCTTCGGGATGTTCGTCCGCGAGCTGATCCTGATGGTCAGCGACGCGGGGGCGGTGGCCTACGACCCGGCGGGCAACGACTGCTTCGTGGCGGCCGTCTCCGCGCAGGTTCCCAAGAACCACGTCAGCCTGGTCACCAAGGAGAACCAGATCTTTGTGGCCGGAGGCTTGTTCGTCGACGAGCACAACGAGGAGGAGCCGCTCTGCTCTTACTTCCTGCAGGTGAGCCCGCGGGTCCGGCAGGTGGGAAGACGTCTCGACGGGCTACACACACGCACATGCTGAGAATTGGATGTCAAAGTCAGAAAAGTCCCGATGATCCGATGTCGAGTCCCTTTTCGGAATCGGCGCACTAATCTCGTGACATTCCAATTTCAGTACGACCCGGTCAACGCCGACTGGCTGGGCATGCCGCCGCTCCCGTCCCCCCGCTTCCTGTTCGGGCTCGGGGAGGCCGAGAACTCCATCTTTGTCGTGGGGGGGAAGGAAGCGAAGGAGCAGGAGCGCACGCTGGACTCGGTCCTGGTCTACGACAGAGAGTAAGCGCCTCGTCCTCGGGAAAGCGGAGAGTCAGATGGGACGGGACGGAGAGGCATTCACGCGCTCTTCTGCTCGTAGAACTTTCAAATGGGGGCAGTCAGACCCACTTCCCCACGCCGTCTACGGACATGCCACCCTTTCGTCTGACGACACGCTTTACGTGATCGGGGGCAAAGGAGACGACAAGTGAGTACCGTACCAAATTTCGCGCTCACAAATGTTACCCGCTTGGACTTGTCTGGAAAGACTCGTCGTCGCCCTGCGCCATTTAGGAGCACATTTGGCAGAAGGGTTCGGGGGTGAATTTGGAAATTCAGTTTTTGTTTGTTTGTTCAAGATTGCAAAAATTTTTTTCAGGGGGGGGGGAAACTTAAGATGGACAGAATTACAACTCCTCCCACCCCCTAGAAAACGAAAATTCCCCCCCCCCCCGTGAAACGTTCATTTGGGGGGGGGTTTCAATTCAAAAATAATCTTTTCTTTTATGCGAAAAGGAAATGCTCGAGCAAGATGCACGCGTACGACGCCAGGAGGTTCGAATGGAAGGAGCTGGCTTCCATGAAGACCGCGCGCTCGTTATTTGGCGCGACCGTCCACCAGAACAAAATCTACGTGGCGGCCGGAGTCACCGACGCGGGGCTGAGCGATTCCGTGGAGGTGTACGACATCGCCACCAACAAGTGAGCTCCCGAGATACAAACGCAAAGGTCCAGTGAGCGCGGCCTCGGGTGTCAACGGCTTGGTGTGATCCTTCGGCAGGTGGTCCGACTTTGAGCCCTTCCCCCAAGAACGCAGTTCCCTGAACTTAGTGTCTCTGCGCGGCTCGCTCTTCGCAGTGGGAGGTTTCGCCATGATGCCGCTGGAGGACAGCGAGGACATCGTCCCCAAAGAGATGAACGACATATGGAGGTAGGCCGCAGAGCGACGTCCGAACGCCCACGTACGAGTCGCGATTAGGCAAGAAAATAGGCATGGGATACCGTTTATTCGCTACCTTTTGGAATGGACAAAATGTACATTTTCCAACGTTGAATCCATTTTGGGGGTGAAAATAAGTTGGGGTTTTTGCAAGTAAACAAGTCAGATGGGGGGAGGGGGGGGGATGATCAGAATTCAATGAGATCGAGTCGTTGGGGTTTTTGCAAGTAAACAAGTCAGATGGGGGAGGGGGGGGATGATCAGAATTCAATGAGATTCAGTGTTTTTGAAATGACTGAATTTGCAACCACTATTCAATCTCCTCCCTTTTGTTGCTCCAGGTATAATGAGACCGAGAACAAGTGGACTGGGATTCTGAGGGAGATTCAGTACGCGTCGGGCGCCACGATTTTGGGGGTCCGACTCAACACGCTGCGACTCGACAAGATGTAAAAAAAGAAAGAAAAAAATATACTTTTTTTTTAACTGCCACTTAGCGTGATAACACCACATTATCATCTGCCAGATAAAAAAAAAAAAAAAAATGGATATAGTTGTACATACCCGGTCCAGGTCACACTTGCTTTCAAAGCAGCCGTATGTACATGAAGAGTCTTGACGTCATGTCCTACAATCAGCACATTTTATGATCATGCCGCTCAATCCGGTATATGGGAGGGGGCAGAGGGGGGAACCGTCTGTTGAATCTCCATTTAGCGTATTTCCGCCTGTAAGGGTTGCAGAAAGTACCAAACGTGAATTGAGGGCTCATCGCGGGTGGATCGGCCTTAATGTGCGATCCAACACTCAAGAGAAATAGTCCAGGTCTGTATGTTGAAGGCAGAAAGCAACTCATAATTATTGATGCTCAATTAGAATAGATCAGATTCACAAATTAAACAAATGAATATATGTGAGGATTATATCATGACGGATTATAAAAAGGCTTTCTTCAATTTTGGTTTGATTAGAAAGCATGTTTAAAAAAAAAAAAAACTCATTCAGACTTCACGCATCCATTGGGCCCAACGGCAACTGCAAAGGTTTGAGGTCAAACTATGACAGATACATATTTGTTCATTATACTGTAACTTCCCCGTGCCCTCCCAAATAAATAATGCACTTACCATATCTACTTCCGGGGTGCAAAATGTTGGATGAAATTGTCTTTGTCTACCTCCAACCACTAGATGCCAGCATTGGACAGTTTAGGAACTCACGAGCAAAAGTGGTATTTATTGAGCATCAACATTGTTCAGAACAAAAAGCTTCATTCAACACACTTTCAGCACAGTAACTCCACTCGTGATACAACGTCAATTAAAACCGCCACCTAATCCGAACACGACAGCTGGAACTATAAAGTAAAAATGTCCCAAAGAAGGAAGGGGGGGTGAGTTAGATAATTCTGATTAACATCCTCCCTCCCTTCAAGTATGATTAGCATCCAAATGGTCTAGGACTGCGCTATTCTTAGCTGGCCTTACTGTACAATTATTCTTGATGTATTACATTCATTTCTAAGCATGGAGCACCGTCGCGAAACACTGCGGAAAACGGCCGAAAAGCCTCGGTTCCTCTGGGAGCTTTCGTAACTGGCCTGTAACAGAGCGGCGGGTCGCTGACGATGATTTGTCTCAGCTGTAGCGGCTGCTCCGACTGCGACTCCGTCGCCTGGACCAGCTGCGACTGGACGAGCGCGAGGACCTGCGCAGTGTTAACGACACATTTTGACGAGCATGTCACATGAGTTCAAAGACAGCGTTGTAAATTTTAAAGTTAAAAAAAAATTCTAGAATGTTTCCCAAAACATTTTTAGCAGCATTACCTACTCTGGTGCATTGTTAATCATTTGTATCATGACAATACCTTATGACAATGCTGTTTCTGGTTTAAAGAAAAAAAATAAATAAATGAAAAAAACATTTTCAAGCACAATTTAATCGCCATTTGTTTCTACTACTACCAATAACAATACTACAAGGCTTTCCAAGTTGAAATTAGCAAGTGACACATTTCTTTGAGGATCGACGGTCTTCTTACCGAGACCCGCGGCGTGGACTCCGGTAGCTGTGGCTTCTATGCCGCCCTCGCGTCCGGCTCCCGCTTCGACTGCGGCTGGAATAGCTGTCAGAGGAGGCGGACCTTTTGGGGAAAAATGCCAAGTCGCGTCCTCATTGATTGTTTGGTATTTTACATGGACTCTTGAGTAAAACATAGCTCAAATACAAAGGCATCTGGGTTTACAACAGTGTTTCCATTCCCACGGCGGCAGTGCGACCATAATATTCCATCGTTCACCACTAGCGCAGTAGTCACGTCTTCGTGAAAGTAAATATTTCGGGTCCAGGAATATGAGGGAATCCAATAGAAAGACCCAACCCACCTGGATCTCCTGCTGCGGTAATTATAGGAGGGACTTCTGGTGTGACTTCTGCTGTACGTCCGGCTGACAGGAGGGCAGAAAGGGGCAGGTTTGAAACGACGCGCGAGAAACACGCTGGCACATTAGACATTTAAAAAAAAAAAAAGATTCAACAAATCACAAGCGCTGAAATCAGGGCGCACCTGTGGCTCCTGTAGCTTCCGTACGTGCTGCTGCGGGACCGCTGGCGCACGTGCCTGCGGCGACTCCTGCTGCGACCTCTGAAAGCGAGAACAAACTCTGTTAACGTCTTCCACGAAACAAATGCAAGAGTGTTCCCCGCGCCAAAAAGGCTTGGTCAAACGCGTTGATGGATTGC